AGGCAATTCAAATGTTACAGCCACTGCATGGAGGACACTGAGAACACTAAGTTAATTAAAAAAAGGTCACGACACTAATTAGCGCAGTACATTTAGCAGATACGGCGCAGCAACAGCGTCGGATGCGGAGAGTGTGGGAGTCTCTCAGCGCAACACTGCCTCGTCTGCTACATGGATCACTGAATAACAGCTGTAATGCTGATGCAATCAGCTGTGCATATTTGCTGCACCATCATCATGTTTTAAGGAAAGCTTGAATAGCCAAGCTCCATGAAGCAATGCCTGAAAGCAAAAGAAAAGGGGGGGGGGAGAGGAGAGGTGAATGTTGACCGAAGAGTTTGATTATGGCAGTCTCTGAATGCATTTGGGGCGACCGTGCTCACAGAAGTAATAGTGCAAATATATCCATGGCACACTGGTCTGTAGAATACACACTGTAAGTATTTGAAAGTAAATATATTGTCGTAGTAAGAGGTACTATCTGACAATATATTGCTGCACAACATCCCAAACTCTGAGTGGTGAAGGATTTCAGAGGTACCAAACTCTCACCCAGGGTCCATATTTCCTGTTGGAAATGAGGCACAGGGGAGACGGTGGTGTCTGTAATATATATGGTTTATTTATATATGGTTAATTTTGAGTTATTGGTGCAAAAAAAGCATAGTAGGATTAATTTCAAGATTTTGCTTAAGACAGAATGGAATTGGATAGAAATAAATTCTCCTACTCTTTCTAACTATTGTTATTTTACTTTTTTAACAGTTTGATAACTATTTCAGTTTCCCAATCAGATTCTAAACTAGGTTCTTGATTTCCTGAAGTTAACCACTACATTTCATCATTGCTGAGTTATTCTGTCAGCTGAAAACGAAATGACTGACAGTTTCATAAGCCATCAGAGCTGCTCAGTGTAGAAACCTATAAAATAGAAAGGCATTAGTCATCAGTCAACCAAACTTTATAGTTAATTAGGTGATAAATCAACATGTTGAAAAATAAATGACAGTTTGATAATTTATCACCACAATATAGATACTATTTTGAGAACATGGTGAATGTGGTTAAGTAATAGACAAATCATTGCTCAGTTATCATAACAGCATTTTCAGAATCAATAGATCACTGCATAATGTTTTTATCAATAGATACAAACTGAAATCCTTTCAACAAGATGGAAACATGACTAAAATTCATTTAAAATGTGGCTCCTTAATCTGTTTAACCAATTACTGTCTTCAGACCACAGAATATTCCCATTCACACAGATGGTATAAGCAGCCAGACTGCCATAATTTCCTCACCTTGGGATACAGTCTTAACCATGCTGACTTGGAGGAAAGTTTTGTTAAGCTACGAGAACTATTTCCAGGAAACTATGTCCAAGATCAATGTATCAGCTGAGAAGCAATAATGTGCAATGTTTGCCAGAATTTTGGAGGTGTGAATGTGGAAGGCTGGAAGTAAAAGGATAAGAGGAATACAACTAAATGCATTGATTCATATTAAACACCCCAATCATTGCAGTGCCAACACAGACATCCATATTATTGTTATTTTTTTACAATGGATCATTAACAGTCCCAACTCAACAGTGCTAGTTTTAGGAATGAAACTTGAATATTGTGTTCCTTTCGCTAAAGTGGCATCTGAAGCTGGTGTGAATCATGTAGAGCATTGGCCTGTGTGGCCCTCCAGAAGTTGTTGGATTCCAACTCCCACCAGTCCCAGTCAGCATGGCCAATGGTTAGGGATGATGGGAGTTGTACTTCGGCACAATGTGGAGGGCCACAGATTCCCCACTCCTGATATGGAGTGATGCATGTCAGAAAAACCAGCTATTTTGATCACCCTCCTTTATACCTTGACTGTAATGATTTCATTTTCAAAAGGGCTATCGCTGGGCATATCCTGTTTGTAAAAGATGAAGAAACGTAACAGGGAAGATGGGTTTATCCCCAATTAAAAGCCATGAAAGACCCACAGTGGCTGCAGTAATAAAGGCGGCTCTGTCTGTCTGGCAGACCACCCTCAACCGCCTAGGTCTCTTACATCAGTTGCATATCTGCTGGAAAACAGTCTCTTTGTACTTGGGCAGGGATGGGGAACATTTGGCCCTCCAGAGGATAACGGACTCCATCTCCCATCAGCCCTAGCCAGCATGGTCATTGGTCAGGGATGATGGGAGTTGGAGGCACAGGTTCCCCATCCCTGTATTAAGGGCACTTACCATTCCAGAGATAACAGAGTCAGAGCTAGGGAGACAGAGCTAGGCTGCGATGAATATTCCTTGGAGGTTCTTAGGCAGAGGTTGGATGGCCACTTGTCCTGGATGCTCTAGCTGTGATTCCTGCATTGCCTGTGTTTGGACTCGATGACCCTTGGGGTCCCTTCTAACTTGACAATTCTATGATTCAATGAGTCCTTTTTTAGAGAGAGAGAGTTCTGAAGCTAAAAGCTTCACTTTTACACTCTCCACTCATCTTTTGAAGCATTAACACTTGGTAATTTGGAATATGCTAAAGCAGGCATAGGCAAAGTTGGCCCTCCAGATGTTTTGGGACTACACTTCCCACCATCCCTGACTACTGGTCCTGTTAGCTAGGGATCATGGGAGTTGTAGTCCCAACACATCTGGAGGGCCGAGTTTGCCTATGCCTGTGCTAAACCCAATATGTGCTTGACTGGCACAAAGTTTTCTTGCTTATTTCGCTGCATGGGATGAGAAAGCAGACAATCCCCACCCCGGAGATGATGGCCAGAATGCCTTATTGCCAAGTGAGATACAAGTGATTGCTACCAAGGCTAAAACACTGTCTGAGAAGACTTTTCCCAGCTTAGACTTGCTGCTGAAGAATTCAGTTCTACATTTCCGCCATCAAGTGGAGTGACATGACAACTCTTTCATCACCTGTAACGTTTGTGCATGATGTAATGATTAATTTGTTCTAAGGGAGTCTTTCTTTCTTTCTTTTGAAGCCATCAACAAAAAGCAAACAAACCCCAAAACAGCAATGATTGATTTTAGGCTATATGGTCACCCCGCATCCACCTTGTGTGTTTCAATGGTAAAGAAAATCCTGCTAAATCAAGCAGCTGTGGGTGGAGGAGGAAAAGGGAAGGCTATAATGTACAAAAAAATTATCTTGTTTAGTCTACCAAGTTTATATGAGAAGAATTCAGATTAGACTTCATTTTTGAATTCTCATATTTAAATAGTATATACCTTAATTCTGCAAAGGAGTCATAAATGAGATGCTGATAGATCTTGTGTCGTATTTTAAAACAAACTCCATATGGCAATTGGAAACAGATGGATAAGCTAGTACTATGATTCCACTAAGATCAACATGGGATGCTGCCTTAGGGCCTCTCCAGACATCCTTTTCAATGTACATGCGTGGTGATTGGAGCTCTTGTTCAGGGCTGGCCTGAGGCAGCTGCCTTGGGCAGTGGAAACCCAAGAGATGGAGTCCCCATGCCTGCCCAGATGCCTCCACTACCAGTGGTGGTGAAGGCTTCCTGCAAGTTCTTGTGAAATCACTGCTTTTGTCGCACTATAGCCCCCCCCTCCCCGACAGCACTAATGTGATAGCATTGAGGAAGCATTGCTGCACAAGCTAAGGTACAGTTTTACCTTATTTATCGAACTTAATCCATTCTGGGAGTCCGTTCGATTTCCAAAACTGTTTGAAAACCAAGGCGTGGCTTCCGATTGGCTGCAGGAGCTTCCTGTACTCAAGCGGAGGCCGCGTCGGAAGTTTGGCTTGCGGAAAACGTTCGCAAACAGGAACACTTACTTCTGCGTTCAGGAGTCGATTTGTTTGGCGATTAAGGCATTCGATAACCAAGATACAACTGTAGAATAAGTCCCTCACTAATGCACTGTTAGGGTGTTAAGAATACATCCACAATAAAGCACCAGTCTGGATAGGCTACAACTGATAGGTAAAGGTGAAGGTAAAGGATAAGTCTTGACAGCTATGACAGTTCCTTGACTGGGAAGGTTTGGTCACAATAATTAATGCATTACCTACTTCAAGACTGGAATGCCCTCAGTGTGGGGCTTCCCTTGTGCTCGATCCAGCAGCTGTAGCTAGTGCAGAATACTGCAGCACAGCCGCTGGTGGGAGTGAGACCCTGTCAGCATATAACACCTCTGCTCAGAGGTCTGCACAGGTTGCTCGTTTGCTACCGAGACAAGTTCATGGTGTTACTATTGGTATATAAAGCCCATAACACATTGGGACCTGTTTACCTGCAAGATCACCTTACCTCATGTAGGCCCACTCAACCTGCAGAGCTGTCACTGTTACAGCTGCCACATAATACTTGTTCTACATTTATGCAAAATGGATATTTCAGTGTAGCAACACACCCTTTGGAACTCCCTGCTTGTGGACAAGGGGCAAACACTGTCACTGTATGCTTCTAGGCGCCTGCTAACAGAATTTTGGTTAAAGAAAGCTTATCCAGGCATGAATAATATTGTGTGTGTTCTGGGTTTAGCCTCTTATTGGTTTTAAGGATTTTTGAATGTGCAAAATATTTGTTTTGAACTTTTTGTTTCACTGATAATTTCATTGTTTTATTCTTTTTGTAAACTGCTTTGGAGGCGCCTTTCTTTCCATCAAGCAGTACAGTGGAACCTTGGTTCCCAAACACCTCTGTTGTTGTACGTTTCGGTTCTCAAACGCTGAAAACACGGAAGTAAATGCTTCCACTTTTGAATGTTTTTCGGAACCCAAACGTGCAATGCGGCTTCCGCTGAGTGCAAGAAGCTCTTGCAACCAATGGGAAACCGCACCTCAGTTTTCGAATGTATCAGAAGCTGAATAGGCTTCGGGAACGGATTTCGTTCAAGAACTGAGGTACCACTATATATATATATATATATATATATATATATATATATCTCATATGAAATCAGTCAATAATACCAAGTCCAACCATTGGCCTATGCAGCTTAGGACTGGCAACGGTGACTGGGGTTGGCCCTCTAGGATCTCAGGCAGGGATTGAACCTGGGTCCTTTTTGGATGCAAAGTGCTCTATGTGCTCCACCACTGAGCCACAACCCCTCCCCAGCTGTTAAATACCTCCTTGCTTTGGCACAAACTAGTTAATTACACAATGCTCACTTAGCAGTAACTCATCTACACATTAACAATGTGACAACAATAACTAATGCGGCAACTGTGACAGCCATTCCCAGAGTGTCCATAGCAACCGCATAAATCCACACCACGCGTGACCTTGACCACAGTCAACAGCTCTCGCCAAGTGCACCTAGAGAACCACCTCACGGCTGCAGGGCTGACAATACTTAACCTGTTCCTCCTGTCCTCTTCCCCCCTCCCCAATCCTGGCCAGAGACAATTGCTGGCTTTGCTCTGGTTCCCTCAGCTCTGACGCTGCGGCCTAGTGACAAGGTCGGTTGACATCGGATTTGGAAGGCGGGCACTGAAATGCATGTGTCAAATCACAGCTCTGGCACCTGCTTGCAGCTGATGTTCTCAACACAATGATGGGCAACGATGTGATTGAAATAATGGTTTTTTGCGATGCAAAAATGCCTGGGGGATAAGGTCATGGCTGAGGAGAAAGCAGCCAACTTGAGTGTCAGGCGGGGGCAGGTTCCCCCAGACTGGCAGAGGAAGTCCTCTTGGTAGTTCCTCCACCCTCAGAAGCTTGAAAGGTGGTGATCTGGGAGAGAATTTTCTCTGTGGTAGCCTCAAAATTGAGGAATAACCTCCTAGCAGAGGAGCGTCTAGTGTCATCGTTATTCAGCTTACATCATATGAAGAATGCACACCTCTTTATCCTTTCACAGTTGAATGACATTTTTTGTGATCTGCATGAAAGTTAATGTAATGAGGTTTTTTTTAGTGTTGGTGGTTGGCTTTATTTTGTTTTAAATTATATTTTGTTTTTGTAACCAGTCCTAGGACATTATGGTTAAGGGTAGAAAAGGAATCAATCAAACAAATAAGTATTCTTTTTATTTTATTACTAGTACTAGCAAAAACAATAAGCTCAAAGCAAGACCTAAAAGCGCATGGATAATTTAAGCAGCAGCAGACTTCATCTGAAATGACATCTATAACACACATGTATGTGGCATGTTATTAAGGAATTAAGCAGTTACAATCAGTCTTGGTATTCCTAATCTGTAAAATGAGTAAACATTTTTAAGAATATTTGCCCATTTTACAGATGAGCAACACCAAGGCTAACAACCATATGAAGAAGAAGGAAGAGGAGGCATGGCAGACCAGCTCAAACATACGCAAAGCAGATAACACAAATAAATGAACCAAGACACAGGCTACAGGTGACATCACAAATCCAACATCCATATTTACAGAAAAGTGTCAAGAAATTCCATGTGAAGAAGATAATGTTGAAGAAGTCTATCCCATTTTACAGATGGGGAAAACCTGAATGCAGATAAGCAACCACTCATTTCCACAACATATCCTAAGCATGTTTACTCAGAAATAAACCCCATTGATTTAATGGAGAGTTTTCAGTTGGCATAAGGGATATATTTCTGGAGTGGGGACAAACTTACCTCCAGCATCAATGGAGCTTCTCTCAATGGCTGCCGTCTGCATCCAGCTCTGGGAAGAGCTCCACAGCAGAGCCCAATTCCTTCCAAGGAAAAATGCTTGCTGCCACTGACTGCCACTTGTCACCTGTTACGTTCCCCTGAATATTCGTGCCCAATATCCCCCTAGAAATGGTCTCCAGAATTTTGAGCCAAAGTTTGAAATGTAAACTTTTGGTTCAGACCTAGTTCAGTTACTTTTCTTTCTAGAAACTGCCTGTTCTGGCGGGGGGTGAGGGAGGGGGGGAGAGAGAGAGGGTAGTAGCCCCAGTGGTGTGTGGAGTTGGGGCAGGGGGCGTTAAGTTTTCTTATTCTTTGTTCATAGGTTTTGCATCTCCACACAAACTCTAAGACAGGCATTCCCAAACTCTGCCCTCCAGCTGTTTTGGGACTACAACTTTCCCCATCATCCCTAGTTAACAGGACCAGTGGTCAGGGATGATGGGAATTGTAGTCCCCAAACAGCTGGAGGGCTAAGTTTGGGGATGCCTGTCTTAGAGTTTGTGTGGGAATGCTCCAATGTCTTAAAGCTGGCACACAGAAGAGGAGTTTTGGGTGTTTAAAAAGCAATGTTTTAACAATGCATATGTATCTAAGAATTTCAAGACCATTGTGAAACCGATTTGCCTCTCAGCTTTACCCCCATATTAAGGGGGAAAGGGGGGAATTACTAGCAATATTTATATGACCCAATTTAGCTCCAATACAGAGAGGAATAGCCTCTTTGTCATCTCAAAGCAAGTCAGATGTGAACGGTTAGTATCCTCACCACCACAGCTCCGTTATGTAGAGAAAATTCACGGGAGCCTTAAAGTCCAAGGCCAATTCCAGTGTCATATTTTCACCTGACAGCAAATGACACGCCATTGGCACTAACAGACTGATTGGAAGTGATGTTGCAGAAGGGCAAGCCCAGATTGCTGACATGTTTTCACATGTGGAATCGAAGAGCAAATCTGCCAGCCCATCTTGAAAGGCATCTGTTTTGAGAGTCAGGTTTGGGCTGCAGCAGAGAAATTGCAGCTCTTTTTCACCCCTCACTGTATCCTTCTCTTCTTTTCTTTTTAATCCGCAAGGAAGGATAAAAGTCAAAGGCACCATCAAGCCTGTCACACCAATACTCGAAGGGACATTGCTTATACACTGCTCTCATCAATCAGTCTCCCTCTGCTGTCCGAGGCTGCAAAGGGAAAATTCACAGCAACAGTAAGTGCCTTGGGAGTAATATAAAAGCATTTTGTATTTACATTTGAGCTCTGCTTCTCATTCTTTTGTTAATGCCCCCCAAACCAGGAACTTGAACCTGGAAAGTGGAAATTGAGTTCAAGAAGTGATTTAACATAAGTAGTTCAGTTTGACCTTTTTTTAATAAAAAAAAAAGGTGGGGGAGAAGAGTCACTTAAATGCAGCATCAGTTTAAGCAGAATTGCTTCATATGACAGCTAAGACTAGGAGGTTTTTTTTAAGGCTTATTCTTCCCTTTCCCAGTCATCTTTGCTTGATGCTATAGATTAATTTGGGGGAGAGCAAGAAGAGAGGGTTGCAGCAGCTGAGAGAAACATCTGGGTTCCACTTCATTAACTCATCAGTCCAAAATCAAAAGTAATGGCCTTGCCACAATGCACTTTGCAATTTTTCAATACTTCCCAAGATGTAAAAATGAAGCGCTCTCACAACATTGCAGTGAGCAACATTGGTGGTGAAAGTGTACCTTTGCCATCCTAAACTGCTAATGTTCAGATGGCAGGTGGGTCTTCTTCTTCTTCTTTGGTGATCCCTCATAGCTGAGTAAGATTGTCTTCCATGAACACAGTCTTAACGTTGTGTCCATAGATGGAGGCCAATTTAGTTTTTTGCCATGTTAGCACATGGGGACATAGGTTTCTGGGCAGGAGTTGATCATAGTGAGGGTTTGTTGAATGTGCCTTCCTCTTAGCTCGTTTCTACCTTTTGTCCTGAGTTCGAGGAACATATTTGTGGAACGTAATTGTGGAACATATTAATCAGTGAACTGTCCAGCAGTCGTCGGCACTCATCGTAGCTCTGGTAAGGAGCACATCATGGTGATCTTCAGCTCAGACAATTTCATAGTCTAGGAAGTGCCAGTGGCTCAACTGAGGGTGCTTCCATGATGTTATTTTTTATTTTATTTTTTGTCGCAAGAGTGTGTTAGTAATAACAAGGTTGTGCGCTGCACATATAGTCAAAAGTAAAATTCTGTTCTGCTTGCCTGTTCTGCTTGCTCTTGCCAGTTCATTCTTTCCCAATAGTCCCAGGCCACAGATCTCACCCAACTCTTGCATTAAAATCACCTGGGAGGATATCCTCCTTAGGTGTCTTTGATAGGATGGCATCCAGCTGTGAATAATTTTTTCCCCAGTGTTTTCATTGGCATCCAATGTTGGTACATAAGTGCTTAAAATAGTTGCCTGCTGGTTTTGGGCAAGTTTTATTCGAAGGGTTGAAAGTCATTCATTAATGCTGGTAGGGACTTCTGACAATAGCTTCACAAGATTGTTTTTGATAGCAAAGCCTACTCCATGTATTTGACGTTCTTGTTCAGGTAGACCTTTCCAGAAGAATGTGTAGCCTCCTTTTTCTCCCTTCAGTTGTCCCTCTCCTGATCTTCGAGTTTCCTGAAGCACTGCAATATCAATATTAAAACATCACAGCTCTCTTGCAATGATGGCAGTTCTGCATTCAGGACGCTCATTATCTAAGTTACATCCAACAAAGTCCGTATATTACATTTACTAAAGTTCAATTGTCTTTTATGACCGCTGGGTGGTGATCCCACTGGGTGCAATAATCCACTCAGAGGAAAAAGAGGCAGACTATGTTTAAGGCACCTTTTCATGCCCCTTCCCCTTTTTGGGGTGAGCAAAGTGGATACAAAATAGGGCTGCTCAGTCGTGGATACAGCTGCTGAGCTACTCAACTGCCTTGTTCTTTAAATCAGAATTAATGAATGAATCTATCTATCTATCTATCTATCATCTATCTTATCATCTATCTATATCTATCATCTATCTATCTATCTATCATCTATCTATCTATCTATCTATCTATCTATATCTATCTAATCTATCTATCTCTATCTAATTTTTATTAAATTTTCTGTTTTACCATTTAAAGTACTCATTTTACATCCTTAAGATATCAGTTCTTCCCTTCTTCTTCCTTCTTCTCTTTCCATGGTTCATTTTACATATCATAAATCCCTGCATATTTTACAAAAATGAATCTGTATCCACCATCCATGTGCCGGTTCATGACTAGGGGCTTCCAAATTTCATGGTTCTGCCCCCATTACCATTTGCAGATTACCACAGGACTTTTATTGGGGGGAATGCGTGGATTGGGTTTGGGATGGGTTTTTGTAAGATGCCTGTGTGTGGATATGTTTTATGTGTGGAGATCAGTGCATGGTGACCAATGCACAGTCTTTGCAGTAAGGCTCTATTTCATGGG